GCTAGCGATGAGCCGGACACTCGTTTCAGACGAGTATCCGTTACGGTTAAAGCATTTTTGACGAACACGATCGTGAAACGAGTAAAACTCGTAAATATCTGTAGTCGTGTAATCGTGCTGAAGGAAAATCCTCATTGGGTAACAGACTGTCTTCACGCTCTGTGATTGGCCAGTCACATAGAGCGCCCGCCCCTCCCTCCACACAAAACTCTGCAGCCGGGAGCTCAGTCTGGCCCATGCATACACACAGACACACACACACACACACACACACACACACACACACACACACACACACAGAAACGGATCTCTCTGTGCTTGCTTTGCTGTTTCTCAAGTTTCTTCAGAACTCCCTAGGTTTTCTTCAGCTCGCCTCTTTTTCGGTTGAATATTTAAAGTTACTTTTTTCGTAACGTACGTGGTGCATTTGACAAGACAGAGCTGAAAACGGCTCGTGCATGCGTCGGTCACTGCCTCCGCTCCGGTTGTTTTTTTTTTTTAATTATTGTAACTCTCACTCTCTGTCTCTCTCTCTCTCTCTCTCTCTCTCTCTCTCTCTCTCTCTCTCTCTCTCTCTCTCTCTCTCTCCCCCCCTCTCTAACTCTCTCACACACACACACCTTAATCAAGATTGTTTTATGTCTAACTGTGTGTGGGAAAAATGCCAACAATGTTAGGAAAAAAATCAGTTTAATCAAATTAAAATACAAATAATTTAAAAAGTTGTGTCTGGTTCTAAGTATTTCATATTTGCTAGTTCCTACTGCATGAGTTCAGATGCATTAATTCATGCACTTAAATATTAATATTCTGATTTTATTGAAAATCTTGTTCTGTAATAGTTCCTTTACTATTGTGATCAAAAATATTTAATCTCAATTCTGAGGCTGCTCTGTAAATAGTTTTCAAATAAACAATAGACATAGCAACTTCTGATCAATCCATATCTATTTCAGATTTAAAATAATGCATTGATGTAAACCACACCCACTAATTTCCAAATAATAAATAAGAGGTGTGTAGCGTGATGAATTGTCCATCTTTGACCTAAAAGGCCCTGCTCTATTTGCTCTGCCCAAGCAGAAACACAAGTTTCTGACACAAGCCTAATCTACAAGATATGGGCCAAGGCCACTCATGCTCTGTGCTCTTATCTAAACTGTTGCTTCTCCGGACAGCACAAGAAAGAAGAACTCTTTTAGAAACAGATCTATTTCTCAATTAAATAATCAAATAATCATGTGAAGCTAATGTTCAATCAATCTGTGAAATGAGAATATTAATTACTTGATATTATAATCCTATGATAGTATTTTAATAAGAAATATAACGTTAAATATTTACACTAGACTGGTCACACGTAATGTTAAAAATCACATTTCCTTTTTCTGATCCAATCAGAACCTCCCAGATCTGACGCAAGGCATGGATTTGTTGGTGTTTGTTAAATCCCCTTTTGTGGCAAATTCTGATTTAACCATAAATCAAAACATCCAAATTATAAAACTATGCCCCACGTCATCTTAACTTCAGTTCAAAGCGTTCTAGAGAAGTTATCGGAGTGGCCAATCCATTTCCTCTTAAAGCCAAAAGAACCTAACGACAAGCTGGATTAAATCTGTTGCATGTTCCACCTGCTGCAACGGTTCCTTCAGAATAAAAGCTGAACCATCACGATCCTTTAGGGTCTCGCTAGATGCCAGTAAAGTGTCGTGACCTGGGAATAACTCAAGACTGGAAGGGTCGGCAACCGCTGCATATCTACAGGCATCAGTTCCAAGAGGATATAAAGCTGGACCCCCGACATACCGGATCTAAACCAGGACTTCCGTTGGGGTACGTAGACCGACAGATGGCATCTCAATGTGGCGTCTCAAACCAAAGCTTAGAGCGAAACATAATTTCACTCCCATCAGAACTAATCGTTTCTCCTGATTTGCTGGTTCTGAACATATTTCACACACACCATCCTCAGTCTTACTCCACCTTAGTTCATCATACACATAGTGTTTAAAGTTAGTCTTGTTTAATTTGTTTAGAAATAAATCTTTTAACTTTTTAAACCTGACTCTCTCTTTCTTGGAGTTGATACAAAGTGTTGCTCAATCCCTGCAATAAAAAGATCCGATCTTCTGTTTAAATTTACCCAAAGATCCATTAAGGTGATATTTCATATGTTATGATATTTCACATTCTATGGTTTCTAGTTAAACGTAAGAACATCTTCTCTACAGGTGCATTCATCTGTGTATCTCCTTTGATCCGCATTAGTGATATTTTCAGCACCAGAACAATGAAGCAAAGAAACAGATTCCTGCGTTTGTTAGTAATTTTATTTATTAGGTGCATCTGACCTGTTCTATTTTTCTCTGAAATTAGATCAAATCAGTGCTTCTATGGGTTGTCTCCTCTCTGCAGTAGAAAAATTGACTTTATTATAATGTTCACTGTAATGCATCTTCATGTTCTTAACAAATAAATTAAATCAAAGATATTGGATAATAATGCCATATATGTAAATTTGTGTTTCAGTCATTTTTATACTGGCTTAAAAATACTACATTAAGTCTACTAAGCAGGGGTGTAGAACGTGTTTAATAGGGCCAGCCCAGTAATGATCTTGGACCAAAATAAAGGGGGCAGAAAGTCAAATAAAGGGGGCAGAAGGAGATGTTTATCCAGACGCCAAGAAAAATTAAATGCCAAATACCCCCTGCAAAGTGTGTCACTGAGAGTTTAAAACAAAAAATATTCTTGTGCAAATATTGGTGTATTCACCTTTAATGCTAGTTATTAAAATGCAGCAGTTGCTGGATTGGTGCAGTTCAAAGTGGAGTGCATCAAATCAAACAATATTAACATAAAGGTGAGATGTGGTGCCTTGGTCTGCCTGAGTGTTCGTGGCTCCCGGGTCAGGGGGTTTAAGATTTTGCCGTCTGCCTGATCAATCCCGGTGGCTGCCTGGTGGGGTCTGGGTCCCTGGGCTCTGCTGGGTCCCCGGCGGGGGTGGTCGCCCCTGGGTCCCGGGTCGCTGGGTCCCGGGCTCGGCCGGCTAGTGGGTGGGAGGCTGCGGGCGGGCCTGTGGGCTTGCCGCTGATATCTCCCGGGACTCTGCCGGCTGCTGGTTATGACCCCCCGGGGCGATCCTCTGTGCCTCTCGAGGGGGGCGGGGACCTTTCTGGTTGCAGTCTCCTTGGGGTTCCTGTGTTCTGGGGCAGCGCCTGGATCTCTGGGACTTGGAGCTCCCCCCGTCTCCTACGCATTTTTGGGGGGCGGATCTGTGGTCCCTCACACTCTCTATTGGACGCTCCTATAGAGAAACCTTACATAAACAAGCGCATGTACACACACAGGTGCTCACATGGTGCTCTCATAAGTATGGACTTGGGCACGTTCAACACATGTCTTAAGGCTGTCATTGGCACTAAATGCACTATGATTTATTATCGTGTGATTGTTCAGTTAAACAATGTTGATTATATATTTCTTCATCAGGTTGACGCAGTGATAGCTTGCTCCTGATGTATTGTTGTTGTGTCCCATTTTTTTCTGCTCTTTCTCTTTCTGCAGGTCTAGATGTAGACTCTTGTTCATTATTGTTTATTTTTGTGGAACCCCCCCCACCCCAGCCCCCCCTCTCTTCCCACCTTTTGTCTTTTCCTTTCTCTTTCACCTCTGACTCCGTGTCTGGTCGGAATTACAAAGCATTCAAAAACAACAACAATAAAGTTTTAAGTATCAGGCGTGACATTGAAAGCAGACGCTTTGACACTCCACCTGAGAGTAAATCTGTAAGGCTTGTTACCAGCATTCAGACATCAATTCTGTTTGCTTCACAGCCAGACAGGACACGGTAAAAAAAGTAAATAAAATAAAAAAAATAAAAGAAGTAAATGTAGCGGAGGCAAATGTGTATTATTCATTTGATATTCTGTATAAATATACAATATTACCATGCTTGATCTTTATTGTAAATATCAGAAGATGATAGGGCTTAATTGGAAGATTCTAGGATTTTTGCTTTATTAAGTAATTATACACACTTCGTTTTGATTCAGAAAAGAGTCAGGTTTATAATAGTAAGAAATTATAACATGACAAGTGAACTAAGCATTTACCATGAATGGATGGAGCTAAAGGTGATATAGGAACCTGTGTAAATGAGGTGTTGGTTAGAACTTCCGAATCTTGGAAAGCGGCATCTCCGGATGAAAAAGAATTTGGTTTGCTCTAAACTAGGATGTTACCTTCAGAAGCACATTCAGACGCAATCTCTCTGTGTTCTACCTCACCCTTTGATGACCCTGATGTACCTAAACTGACCATTGCTGGACGCTACACATCTATTGCTGTTTATTTAACCTCCACTTGCTCTGATCCTGCATCAGTCAGCTGGTAACTCCTCCCACCCTACCACCACCGCATCATCCAGCCAACAGAAAAATGAGTTACTCAAACAGATTACTGATGTCTACCCAGATTCGTTTGACAACAACATGGAGTTGCCTTCTCATAAAAGTTTTGTTTACACAAAGAATCCTAATAAGTCCATCAGCCATTGGTTTTAATATATTCAACCAGTGTGGGTGCAGCGTAATCTGGGAATTGTACCATTTAATTAGCAAGAAGTATGTATTTTCATAAGATTGTGTTACTAAATGGCTGTGGAACAATCTCCAGGCATTAAACACTTGTTTGTTTTGCCAAGTTTTTTTTATCATCTTAGTTAATGATTGTAGAGTTTTGGCCACCAGAAGAGGAAAAAAAGTAAAGATATGAATGACAGGCTGGGCTTTCAGCAACAAGTGTAAATTGTTTGACTAAACCTTCCCAAGAACAGTGGAGATGACAAACTCAGGAAAAAAATCTAAATGATTAAAATCAAAATCCGTTTTCTCTCTTGTCCTCAGTTATTAATAGTGTGTGTGTGTGTGTGTGTGTGTGTGTGTGTGTGTGTGTGTGTGTGTGTGTGTGTGTGTGTGTGTGTGTGTGTGTCCTAGAATGATGCTGCGAGAAGAAGCACCCAGTGCTCCACCCAATAATATTGTGGCCAGTGGTCGCACAAACCAGTCCATAATGGTCCAGTGGCAGCCTCCTCCAGAATCGGAGCTCAACGGTGTTCTGCGTGGATATGTACTCAGGTAAAATCACTCAGACCAAATGGTCACAAGACCAGTTTAATCAGAAACAAAGCACAGAACAGATTATCATTTTATCTGACTTGGTAATAACATTTATTTTTCAACAGCAGTGAAAACTATTGGCTCTGATTGGCCTCTGTAGTCCACTTATATTTAACCTCATTGTACCAGAGTGGTAAGCAAAAAGTAACAACTACACAAATGTAATTAAATATGCATGATTTTTTCCAGCAAGGTATATAAGAGCAGAAAGTGTCTAAAGATGCTGTAAGTGTCTAAATTTACATACTTTAGTGGTACTGTTGTTTCATTCAGGGTTTTTAGCTGAAATGTTCTCAATAAAAGAAATACTTTTGGTTCAAAATGTGGTTTCTAGTGTGGAGGGTTAAAACAGTAAAATAACAGGTAATGAAAACATGCAGCATATATATATATATCCGTTATATAGACTCCATTAATCTAATTACATTAATCAGAGGCTTTGTAATTAATTAATCTGGATGAACAGGGTTAATATAAATAATGTTAGTGAGGCACAGATGACATAACCACACTTTAAAAAGAATATTTAAGTACAATTTGATGACTTTGGTCCCATTAATAAGGTAACCATTGTAGGGCTTTTTGGGATGTCTAAATATTAGTTTAAGTGGTATTGATGAAGTGTACATGGGCAGGGCACTGCTAATATAAATATATATATATATATATATATATATATATATATATATATATATATATATATATATATATAGATAGATAGATAGATATACATATATAAATATATAGATAGAGAGAGAGAGAGAGAGAGAGAGAGAGAGGTGTAGTGTAGAGTTCAGGGGAGGTTCTGCTGAGGGTTACCAGATGAATGCTTGTGGGAATGCTCCTCCTTCCTTCTGTAATAAAGTTCATAAGGATTAAAGTTACTGCCTGCCTTCTACCAACAATAGAACATAACAACATGAACAGCGATTTTTCATGAATAATTTAAAGTTTTGGGGGACATATATATATATTTTTTTTACATTGACTGATCACTAAGCTAGTATTGATGGATAATTGCTTTACTAAAATCTTAATAAATGTGTGATTGATGCTGAAAAAGAAAAATGTTAAATATTCTTGTGTACAAGGTTCTCAAATGTGAGGTATAGTAATCTCTGAAACTATTAGACTAAGCAAGTAATCCGAAGTATTTCTGATAAACCAGCTTTACACAATTTCCAGACAAAATTATTTTTATAAGAAACAGAAGGATGAGATAAATAACATAGTTTACAGCCTTTAAAGGTACAATAGAGCTAATTGAAGCAGACCTTGCCCTTACGGGGTTTTGTTCTGGCTCTTTGTCCAGAAATAGACACCGTCCACATTTTCACACGAGGGCTCATTAAGGGATGGCTCTTGGCTGGTTCTTGGTCTGCTGTCCTTTGACTGCCACATCCACCTGAAGTACCTGAAGTATGAAACACTGTGTAATCAAGCTGTCATCAGCTGGCCTCACACTCATTTGCATATAATTGCAGTAGAAGTTATCAGATCTTTATCCTCCTTCACTGCCTCCACTTCAGAAATCAGTAAAAAAAACCAGGAAATAAGCACTCGCCACATCCCTGCTGTATCATTTCAGCTTTGTAGGGCAGCGCTTCCCCCCTCCTCCCCCCTTTGGATTCTCTGTTCTTCAAGTTGTGTCAGCTGCCAGCCCCTTACTCTGTTTTTCCTATATTGGTCCTTCTTTCCATTTTGCCCGGCGTACCTCTTCCTCCTCCTTATCATCAGTGGTGTGTGGAGAGAGAGGAGAGAGAGAGAGAGAGAGAGAGAGAGAGGAGAGAGAGAGGAGAGGGAGAGGAGAGAGGAGAGAGAGAGGAGGGAGGAGAGAGAGAGGAGAGAGAGAGAGAGAGGAGAGAGAGAGAGAGAGAGAGAGAGAGAGAGGAGAGGAGAGAGAGAGAGAGAGAGGAGAGAGAGAGAGAGAGAGAGAGAGAGAGGAGAGAGAGAGAGAGAGAGAGAGGAGAGAGAGAGAGAGGAGAGAGAGGAGAGAGGAGAGAGAGTCTGTCTCACACTTCTGCAGTGAACTGCCATCACCCTCTTCACTGATGTGTGTGTGTGTGTGTGTGTGTGTGTGTGTGTGTGTGTGCGTGCGTGCGTGCGTGCGTGCGTGTGTGTGTGTGTGTGTGTGTGTTGTGTGTGTGTGTGTGTGTGTGTGTGTGTGTGCGTGCGTGCGTGCGTGCGTGTGTGCAGGTGTGTTTGTATAATATGCATGTGTGATTGAGTGCTGAGTCAGCAGTGAATCGTCGGAACATCCCGTTACAGAGGATAGGTGTCATATTAAACGCTGACATGGGGATTATTACTCCATTCAGCTCCATCAGATATGCACGGCACTAAAGTGGTATTCCACCTCGCTGTCTTGTTGGGGCCATATATTTTTTTAAGTGGGCACTTATATCACATGTACTAAAGCAAAGGCCTTGAAGGTGCACTATTTAGTGATGAAATTAAATAGTTTCTGTCTTTAGAGATTTTTTTAAAAGGTCTTAACTTCTACAGAAAATCTTTAAACTTAATTTACAGTAAAATGAATGAAACTGGGGCAAAGTGAAAATGGGGAAAACGGCATGTGCAGTATGTCTGGTGGTTTAATCACCGTAATACATAGACCTACAATGCGTTTCTGTGAGTAGATTCAGAAAAAATGTAGTATTTTGTGTTTATATGTGAAGATCTGTAGATCTGTACTACACTGGGGGAAAAATACAAGTATACATTTGAATTGATTTGATTTTCCTGACTCAAGTGTCCAAGCTCCACCCGGACTGCTAGAATCTGTCTTGTAATCGATACCTTGACACCGTCCATTTGGCTACCCTGCTGAACTCACAGTCAGGTTAAACTTGATCATCAGTCAGGTTTTCACACAGATGTGCTGCTTCCTTTTTAATCACTGCCAATAATTTGGTTGCAAGTGGACCCAGGTTGTAAAGCATAACAAGGAACACTCATAAATGTGGGTTAACTACTTTGTAAAATATTCCAAAAGTCTGTTTTGCTAAGCCGCCATGGGCCGAGAGGCACTTGGCTGCAGACCTCCACCGTCAGGCTGCTTCCGGTGGGGGCTCCACTGTCAGGACAGTCAGGACGGGAAATGCACGGGATACGTTACATGTTAAAAAATAAATGCTTTTGTGAGGAGAGCGATTCAACCCAAACAGCATTTGGGATTTAATTTGGAATCATGACGACCGGAAGTATGTTAGCATATGTTAGCGTTTTATGTTGAAACCTATACCGGCCATTCGTTAATTCATTTTGAAAAAGTATGTTAAATGACAACTACATATGAACAATAGAGAAATTATTGATAGGTTTCAATATAAATTTTACATAAAATCTATCAATTACAAGCGTAAGTATGTTTGCCATTTTATTTAGTAATGTATCCTGTGCATTTCCCCTCCTGACCGTCCTGACAGTGGAGGTCTATAGCCACGTGCTCTTGCATGGGCCTGAATCCGTCATGAGACAGTTCTGAAATTGTACGAGCTGTATTTAATGTAGGCAAGGCAGCTTTAATTGTTTAGTACATTTATTGCACAGAGAGAAATACATTTAGATAAAAATAAATGCACAAATCAGATTTAATAATCAGAAAAAGGAAAAGTTAAAAGGTGAGCAGTTGCAGTGCAGAAGGTGCATCATTCACTCATAAGCTAATAATTACATGAAAGTTTTCATTTTTGATTTGCAAGTTGCTAGAGTCCTAGAACCCCCCAAGGTGCTTTACAACACAGTCAGTCAATCACACATACACACACACACATTGACGCGCTGGTGGTGATGGGTTACAACAGAACTACAGCTGCTCTGGGGCACACTGACAGAGCATTGGCGCCACCGGTCCGTCTGACCACCACCAGCAGGTAAGGAGGGCAAAGTGTCTTGCCCAAAGACACAACAACAGACTGAGTATGGGGTTGAATCTGTAACTCTCTGTCTTTTGCATTGCGTCGTTATGTTAAGGAACACTTATTAGGATGTAAAAACACTCATTTTCGTCTATCTTGCCAATCCCCATGTTCTCGTTTCCCCCTTTTACCACGCATTTGTGTAGGTACCGTCTGGCAGGATTACCAGGGGACTACCAGGAGAAGAACATCAGCAGCCCGGAGACGAACTACTGCCTGCTAAAAGATCTCATCATCTGGACTCAGTACCAGATCCAGGTGGCTGCCTACACAGGAGCTGGCCTGGGTGTCTACAGCAGTCCCGTCACTGAGTACACACTGCAGGGAGGTGTGTAAATATGCACAAACACATTCTTTCTCATTTACTGCTTGCACAGCAAATAAAGTACGAAATTCTGGGACGTTTTCAATCGTCGCTCCTTACAAACTCGCATTGTACTTCATGCTTTCAACAAGTTTCCTCGACAGGCATTAAGCCCATTCCCGTAAATCCCCCTGCACCTTAAGATAAGGTGAAGAATCTCCCATCTGCTGTAACTACAGCAGGAGATAACTGACAGGGATGATGTCATAACAACAAGATGCGCTTGTCTCAGCTGTTTTTAATGTTTTGGTTGGTGATCGGATGACTGACGGCTACATGCAGCTGCAAAGTTGTTTTTCTGTAGCCTCCAAAGATCCAGTTTTACTCCGCTTTGAAAGGAGCCAGTTGGTGCTGTTCAGACTCATATTAAAGTTGCCCCCGAGGCATCCCCCCGCAGGCAAAGCAGCTTCCGTCAACTGGGAGGAGACCCTAAGGGCGACCCGGGATGTGCTGAAGGGAGAGCAGTTCATCTTCCATCTGGCTAACAAGCAGCTTGGAGGATGAAGGGGATGGATCGGGAGGAAGTTTCTCCACTGCTCTATAAATATATAATATGACAGATAAGGGTGTGTTTATTGTAATAGACATGGCTGCTCGGAGATACGCTTTTTCAGCTCTCTCCACCATAAATCAATGGAGCGGTTGTGAAAACCGAGAGAATGTAAGAGACGACTGGTAAATGAGATGAGCAGAAGTGGTTGTGGGGTAAATTTCCTGAAACACGTGCCTGTCTCTTGCTGACTTTTATTCCAACACTATATTATCATTGTTAAAGATGAGCAAATGGGCACACTTGCACACCCCCACACACACGAATGCATGCACTTAAAACTCACAGTCATCACTACAAGGGTTCGGGACAGGTTTATAGACTCAGGAGGGGGAGTTGGGCTCATTAATTATTCTAATGTGGTTTAATGGGAACGACTGTGATGGATTGGACATTTTCTCCCTCTCACCATCTGAGAAGATGTGACTGAACTCTGTGTTAAACTCCGATAACATTACTTTTCTCCTGCTCTCTCGCACAAGCAGCCTTAGTGCATACTAAGATTCCCCCAAAGGGCATAGTTTAGTGTTTTATCTGGAGCTGTGAGCTGCGAGGGGCTAAAAGCCGCTCCCTGGGAGGACAGTCAGCGTGGCAGAGACTGAGAGAACTTCTTTAACATCAATTAATCTTCTGTCTCCCTATCTGTCTTCTCACTCTTTGGCATCATTTCTTGCACACGCTTGTGCCTTTCATTTCTCAGTAGCTGTTAGTCTTCCCTCTCTCCAGACTGTACACGTTTGTGTGCTTGAGCATGCGTCGTCAGGCCACTTCAGCTGAAATACAAGATTTAAAGGGCATTCCCATCACGCAACAGCCTATTGCCACTCTGTGACTTTCAAGCATCAGCATAAACCCTTTACTATGTAATCACCATGACGTACCCGCAGACTCGCACGCGCGGACACACGATTCAACTGTCACTCTCTCTTTCACTCTCTGTGGCTTTAATTTTCATTCATCGTGCGTTCCCTGTTTCTCTCATTGAATCGCTGGTCTGATTTCATGCAACAATGAAAGATCTGCGCAAAGAGAAACATTCATACTCTGACACAACAGGAAAGGGATAGCGATGGAGGATAAGAGGAGACACTGGTTTACTTTTGGAATAGGTTAATTAAAATCCAATCAGATCGCAGAAACTTGAAAACTTCTTACAGTGTAAATTAGGGATTTAAGAAAAAAAATGAATTTTTGATACTGAACCGAAATTTAAAAGCAGTGTTTACTGTATTTCTTAGGCGTGGTGCAATTCAAACTGTGATAGGTGGCAGCAGTTGTTCCCGTTTTCATTCTGACGGAATGACAAGATCTCGCAGTAACACACGATGTGTCCTGGAAGTCAACAGAATTTTCCAATTAAATTCAGCCTTAAAACTAGTGTCTGGCCTGTAGTAACGCAATATATCATATTGTCTTTGTCATATATATTATGTGGTCTTCCCTGTACCGTCCCCTGCCCTAGCTGATCCTGCTGTTCCCAGTGCAGTTGGATCTTTTGATGGTGTTTCCTTCTTCTTTTTATGCCTGTTTCATTTGTACTCAGCCAGTTTTCCTTTCATTATAGCTTTTAAGTGCGTGCGTGTGTACTTTTCTTTATATGTTTAAATGGACACATTTTGACTTTAAAAAACTGCAGTTGGGAATTGAAGCCCATTGATTATGGTTAGGGTATGGTAAGGCAAAGTGGAGTCACTAAAATTAAATGAAGTCAATCTTAATCTTAAAAGTTTGATTTATTGATTGTAGGGTTAGGGTTAGGTTTCCACTATATTGTATTATCCACTCTGTAATGTGATATTAATGGTATTGTCTCCCCTGTATTTTGATACACATAATATTGTGTCCCATGTGTTGTATAATAAAACGTACCACTAAATTCTTCGTCATCGTCTTCCTCCGCTTATCTCGGACTGAGTCGCGGGGGCAGCATCCCAACTAGGGAGCTCCAGACCGTCCTCTCCCCGGCCTTGTCCACCAGCTCCTCCAGCAGGACCCCAAGGGGTTCCCGGACCAGATTGGAGATGTAACCTCTCCAACGTGTCCTGGGTCGACCCGGGGGCCTCCTGCCAGCAGGACATGCCCGAATCACCTCCCCAGGGAGGCGTCCAGGAGGCATCCTGACCAGATGCCCAAACTATCTCAACTGGCTCCTTTCGATCCGGAGGAGCAGCGGTTCTACTCCGAGTCCCTCCCAAATGTCCGAGCTCCTCACCCTATCTCTAAGGCTGAGCCCAGCCGCCCTACGGAGGAAACTCATTTCGGCCGCTTGTATCCGCGATGTCGTTCTTTCGGTCATTACCCAAAGCTCATGACCATAGGTGAGGATTGGGATGTAGATCGACTGGTAAATCGAGAGCCTGGCTTTCTGGCTCAGCTCCCTCTTCACCACGACAGATCGGCTCAGAGTCCGCATCACTGCGGATGCTGAACCAATCCGCCTGTCGATCTCCCGATCCCTCCTACCCTCACTCGTGAACAAGACCCCGAGATACTTAAACTCCTCCACTTGAGGTAGGACCTCTCCCCCGACCTGGAGTTGGCAAGCCACCCTTTTCCGGTCGAGAACCATGGTCTCAGATTTGGAGGTGCTGATCCTCATCCCAGCCGCTTCACACTCGGCCACGAACCTACCCAGCGAGAGCTGAAGGTCAGAGCTGGATGAAGCTAGGAGGACCACATCGTCCGCAAAAAGCAGAGACGAGATTCTCCTGCCACCAAACTCGACACACTCCACACCACGGCTGCGCCTAGAAATTCTGTCCATAAAGGTCATGAACAGAACCGTGACAAAGGGCAGCCCTGGCGGAGTCCAACCCTCACCGGGAACAGGTCCAACTTACTACCGGCTATGCGGAGCAAACTCACGCTCCTCTGGTAAAGGGACTGAATGGCCCTTAACAGAAAGCCACCCACCCCATACTCCTGGAGCGTCCCCCACAGGGTGCCCCTGGGGACACGGTCATAAGCCTTCTCCAAATCCACAAAACACATGTGGATTGGTTGGGCAAACTCCCATGCCCCCTCCATCACCCTTGCAAGGGTATAGAGCTGGTCCACAGTTCCACGGCCAGGACGAAAACCACATTGCTCCTCCTCAATCTGGGATTCAACTATCGATCGGACCCTCCTCTCCAGTACCTTGGAGTAGACCTTTCCAGGGACGCTGAGGAGTGTGATCCCCCCTATAGTTGGAACACACCCTCAGGTCGCCCTTCTTAAAGATGGGGACCACCACCCTGGTCTGCCACTCCACAGGAACTGCCCACTAAATTCTTGCCAGCACAAACCCCTGGTTCAAACCTGCTTTTCAAATTCTGCTTGTGATCAACTTATTATTGGACAATATTTTGTGGTACAAAAAATTCTTTTATGCAGCCTCTTCTCATATTTTGTTTTTTTGCTGTCTGTGTCTGTTTCCCTCTTTGGTAGATAATTAATGAATGATGATAAATGTCAAAGCTTTATGCAGATTCTGCAAAGCTTTGTTCTGCTTTTTTTGACTGCCTCTTTCTGCTGTTGGACTTTTTATTGTTGCACTTGTAATTAACTAATGCATGAATAAAAAACTAATGCACACACCGTTATGATGAAAAATAAATTAAAGAAATCATGAAAATCTGTTTACCCACCCCCAGAAAAGGCTGTGGTTTGTAAAGGAAGCTTTTCAGAGCTTATATAAACAACGCAGTTAACGTCCCAGTAATGTCATCCGGGTGATCTTGGCTTGGATTTTCACACATTTAACAGAAAGCTGATTACAAGGAGGAGGCGTGAGGTCTGACAGATGAGGGCGTTGAAGAGGGAGTGAATGGTGTTTCTAATAAAGGACGCAAGTGCAACACTCCATCATTGGAGTGCTCGTTGTGAGTGAAAATATTAATATGGATGAAATGTCACAACTTCTTTTATGGGATTCATTCTTTTTTCAATCAATAAATAATAGTGTGTGCAATAAAATCCATGTGCGTGTTAAAGGTTAAGTGGGGTCGCTCGGTTTGGGCTTGAAAACTGTACAGGCCTCGGGACTAATCCAGCAATCCAAGTTCCTCAGTAATGGATCACTGTCTTCACGTTATTAAGCCATTCTGGAGGTGCAAAAGTCCACAACACATGAATGAAAAAAGCACTATATTAGATGTGATAAGTTTGAGATATTAGGTCGTTTGTAGTAAAACACAGAAGAAGAGCTGTGGCATTTAGTTTTTGCAGACTTAGCAGATGTCTTTAATTAAAAAATGAGCCAAATTTCAGCATTAAATATTTAACAGAGGTGCTGTATGGAATATTTACAACCATTACTTCTTCAAAAAGTCACTGTGCTTTTTTCAGCATGTCCTAAATTTTACTTCCTTTCCCTGAAGTTGAACTCATTACAGTTAAATAATATTTTTTGTGTATGTGTGTTTAGTTCCCACAGCGCCGCCGCAGGAAGTGGAAGTTGTTGCTATTAACTCGACTACCATCCGCTTCACGTGGAACCCTCCACCTCAGCAGTTCATTAACGGCATCAACCAGGGATACAAGGTAGGTTGTTACTTCACTAATAGCACTAACTATCAAGCCGGGATGCGTAGTGTGATGTCATCAAGGAGACGAGGAGGAGGAGATTTGGAATTTGGAGACGCCTTCCTCCATGCTCCCCCTCCCCAACTAACTAACTGCTGAGTTATCTCCTCAGCCTTCATCGGGCTCTGCAGGACCTGGTAATCACTCATTTTAACCAGATGTTCTATGTTCAAGCAGGAAATCCAGCACTGGCGATTATTGCTAATGCTACAGTCTAAACCAATAGTCTGATGTAGTTCAAGGTTGAACTCTACACTAATCACCAGCCTCCAATACACGTTCCCCTACCTCCTCTTCCACAGCTTACTGACTGGCACGAATTCAATGCAGGTCAAGTTAGCATTCCAGCTAGGTTGGTGTGCTAAGCGGATGGAAGTGTCCCCCCGTAGTGTATGCTGGGAACTGGGGGTGCATCCTCATTGTCTGACAGCTCCCTCTTAAGCCGGGCGTACACTGTGCGACTTTTTCACTCGTAGCACTCAGCTTCAGCTCAAACTGTACGACTTCCTCGCAGGGCAGATCTCACGAGTCATGTGCTCACACTGCACGGCCCAGTTTTCGGATGCGATCTGACTGCTCACACTGTATGTCTGGTAGCAACACGTCGGACCAAAAAATATGCTAAAAAATAGCCGTTTTTACTCAACACGTCAGACTTTTTTGTCTTGTTTTGCCTGTTGTCCTTCGGGAGTGCTGCAGGAGGACACACGGGGATTTATGGGGTTGGATGAGGAAAACGAAATAAAGAAAGTAAATCTGTGTTTAGTGATCAGTTTAATTTGACATGAACACGACAAATATGCTTTCTTGACAATCTTTGTGAGTAAAAAACCGTGTAGAAATAAAAACGAACAACGTGTGTTATTAGGGAAACGGCGGGCGAGTGGTGTTGATGCAGGATTGCGCATGCGCTGTGAGCGGTTCTGGTACATTTTGGGTCGCAGCTGCTCGCAGCGCCGCTTCAACAGTGCGATACCCTCACGAGGAACGAGCGAAATATCAAACACGCCAGAAGTTTGTGAGAGCTCACGATTGCTGATCGGTAGCTGGTCACGTGGTGTTAATCGCCTCTCGTAACCCCCTGTACACTACACGACCGCTCGGCGCAAAACTCGCCTCGATCTCGTGGATTCTCGCACGAGTATAACATCGGCTCAAAAAAGTGAAAAAGTCGCAGAGTGTACGCCCGGCTTTAGGGATACGCATCTATTGGGCAACACTCTAGGCTTGCATACATTATTTGTTTTACAGTAGACGAAAAATAAATTATGAAAGATTACCTTCTTTATATCATAGACCAGAATCAGATACTCAAATATAATAATTTTTAAGTAACTTAAATTTGAACTATCTACCCCAGCTTTAATCTTATCTCAAATAAAGGAAGATTTTTCTTTTTCATTAGAATTTTAGGGTAATGATATATAAGTTATCTCAGAAAACCAAACAGCTTATTCGTTATTTTATAGAAAAATAGAATATCTTTCTCTAGTTGAAAATATCTGTTTTTGCCCTTTCGACGACAACAATTTTAATCAGTGACCCCAGATACCCCCAACTTCCTTAAAGCTGGATTATCAGTTCTTATAACTTTCATTGTAAGCTGAATTTATTCTATTTGAACCCCAGAATGAGCACTTGTTAAAATCATCTTATGCTGGAATGGCTGCATTAATCAACAAAAAACAACAACTAGAATTTACAATGCAAAGTTCAGTTCCTCATCTGCATCTCCTTGTTGTTGTTTACTCAAACCCTTCACCAAACCAAGGCCAGGGTCAGCTCCAGGAAGCAATAATGAGTGATTGAAACCAGAGATACAGTCAACATTTGGGAAGCAGGAGAAAGATGAGGAATGTGTTGTGTGGGTGATCTTCATCCACCAGTTCTGGAATAGGATTTATTCTTTCTTTATTGTGGCAACCGACCCCTGAGGAGCTGATTAACATGACAAAGGAAGCACATCACATTCTTGCTCTGCATCTGTTGGTCCATGCAGGAAACTGTTTTACAGTGTGCATACTGTTGTCTTTGCTGCTTGGTAAATACTATATGATTTTCCATCTTTTTGATGAGGCTTTCTGTTAGATGTTGTTGTAAGTCAGAGACTACCACGCCACATCCATGAAGCCTCTCTGAGCAGCTTCACATGTGGGTGTGGGTGACTTTGGGAGTGTTATGCTGGTGAAAGGCCAGCAGATGATAATATTAATTAAAAGTGGGTATGAAGCATGCTTTCATTTCATCTCCCCCACAGATCACTGATTATATACAATGTTGTTAATAATATAGCTCCCTACTCATTTCCAGAGAAAGTCTCCTCTCACAAGTTTAACATCTTCCACTTGCATGCCCTTGAAAGTGTCTTTACTGCAGAGCTAATAACATTTATTACTTACATACCTGTTTATAAATCAGCTAGTCTGTCTGCATATCTGTCCACCACACAGTCTATAGACACATAAATGCACTGTTTGTGTTGGTTATAAATCTTTAGATTTCTTTTGAAACTTAAATCCTTCCAGCACCTTTTTGAAAGTGGAAAAGCAACAGGACGCCCGGAGGACAACAGATCTCCTCTCCTTTAATGCTCCCAAACTTTTCTGTGCTAAAAAATATAAAAGAAAATAATATAGAACCATATTTTATCGTGGCAGACTTGCTGCAGTGATGCAGCCTGAAGGCAGAGGGGGAAAGCAGCCACTCAAATGTCTCCTGGTATCACCAGTCCTTTTGTTAGAAGATGTCTCTGAGTTTTGTTCTTTCATTGTGGAATGGCATCATATGAAGCAGATGGTGTAACAAAGTAGATCATTCACAGATTTCACCTGAAACAAGTGTGTTTTAGCTTTGAGTGTGTTTTTATTCAAGTTTTATTTAAAAAGGTGAGTAAAAACATTTTGACCTCCTGATGCATTATGCATGGGACTCTGTGCTGGTGCAATTCCAGACCTGGAAAGCTTCCAGTTATTTTCTCCCCTGAACAAGCCACATTCGTCACCTGCTTATATAGCCCCCTAAAAAGAAATGGATAAGACCTGGGTCCTTATTGCTCGGGTCTATGTGTCATAGTGCGATCAGCCAGGTGCTTTAAGGCTTTACTTTACATTTTGTGATCTAGTTTGGGCTGGTTTGGTTTGCTGTTTAGATTTAGCTGTTTGTGGTAAATAATGTTGATATTTTGACTAAATACGCAATGTGTAGCACTCGTTTATGGGTTCAGCAGCTGAACTGCAAAATTGTGGAGTTTAAAGGTGTGGGACACTCATTGTGGGACACTCATTTAATCAATACATTTGGAGTGGTCTCTGGTAGGAATGAATGCCGTGGGGTGGAGGGGGTGGTAACTGTTAGCTTCTGCTAGTTGAGATGTTTACTGCTGTTTGCTGGATGCTAAAACCTTCCCCGTCTTGAGTTAAGATGGGTGAGTTAATGGATGTTAAGGCAGTGTGACGTAGATCTGTCAGGATTTTCAAATCCTAGAGTTTCACCGTCTATTTTCTATCAGAAGCTAACACAGGAGATAGGTGTAGGAGACTATTTTCATGTTCACCCTGCATGAAAAACTCACAGTGACCAATTATCAAAAATCATTAAAAGCACCTACAATGCAGCTCTGAACCTAATTCCCAAGCAGTTTCAGTATAGGTCACACCCTCCTTCATCTCATCCAAACAACCATTTCCACACAATAGAGCCTAATGATTCCAACAACTCCTCGGGAAGTAGGGAGGAGGGGTATTTAGAGGTACTTTCAGCTTGTGAAGCAACAATAGACAGCTACAGTTTATAAGCTTGACTCTCCCGTATTCCAGTCAGAATTGACTAAGCTCCTCAGATGAGAAGCTAAATCTCTTCAAAAAACCAAAGAAATCCATTTGCCTTCATTTGAACCCCTTTGGGTTCACATAACTTTCACCAGAACACATTAAAAATATGTTATTTCAAAGTCCCACACCTTTGAATTTGAACGTCTCAACCAACTCCAATGACAGCAATATAGAGAAGTCAGTCACAGTTAGGCTAACTGCAGAAAAACGCTAGCCCAAGCTAATGCTAGTCCGATCTACTGCTAACATTAGCCAGAGCTAGTCTTAATGCTATCCTAAGCTACTGTTAACGTACTTGAGCAGAAGAAGAATGTTGGAGGACCATTCGTATTCCAGAATGTACTTGGAGTATCCAGGCTATGAATGAAAACTAGATAGATTGACAGTTAGCGGTTCTTGTCCTTTCCCTTGTTTTTTCGCAAAGTCCAGCTCCAGAGCCTGCCTCACTTTGTTCCTCGTTCATCCACACTCCCGCACCACCACAACAGTTTCATAAGCTACATAAAGGCCCAAATAAGTTTCTAATTGAAAAACATAAACCTTTTCTAGGACACCTTCAAGAAATAAATATTTCAGAAGCAACATCCTCGTATAATGATTTGTGCTTTAGTTTGCTGTTTGTGATTCCACCAAACCATTGCACACTTTAATTCCAACACTTGACTAAAACTTATTATTTTTTTATTATTTGGTGGTATAAATATTAATAGAACACCATAATGTTGCCTGAGGGATTTCTGTTGTTATGAATGTGTAAATACACCCTTACTCAATTTGTTTTTAATGACTAAAGTAAGATTGCTAATCAAAGTTCTCTGTTTTTAATGTAATTCCAGTCCTGTTATTTAAAAAAATCTTACAGGCTTTTAGTTAAACAGGTAAGAATACAAACTGTTCTTGTTCTCTGAGGATGACTGACAGTGTTTATGAGGTATGGTCACTAAATAAATACCTAGAATGCAAATATCTTTTCCAGGAAATGAAACGTGAAAATCGTTCTCACAAATTTGTTTTGCAATTTGTTATTTTAAACTAATTTGAAAAGATTTACCACAACCGGCACTGCGGCAAGAGTATGTTTGTCTGTTTCATGAACCGCAATCTAAATTACAGGAAGGGATTCACTGCCCTGAAGCTCCTGAAACCACAATAATGAGAAAAAATGACAGATCGAGAACAAATTAAATAACTCTGCAGGATCTTGGTGCAATTCATTAGATGTTGTTTATGTCACCTGCCATCGTGTTTCTGATCTAACACAGCTGCTGGTCTGGCTGGAGCAATCTCCAGAGGACGTTACCGTAGTAACCATCACTCCTGACTACCCCAGTTCACGTCACACGGGGTTAGTCAGTGGGCTCAGGAAGTTCACCTGGTACTATGGCTCCATCCTCTGCTTCACCACACCTGGAGATGGCCCTCGCAGCCCCCCCAACCTGCTGCAGACACACGAGGACAGTGAGTGGACTCTTGCATCATTATCACGATGACATCATGTGCTCAGTGTGACCAAAGCAAGCTCATAACATAATGAAAGCTCCATCAGCCTTGCCTGTGGATGATGATTAAGGTGCATCGTGTTGGATCCAGTCAGTTTTAATGGTGTCACACACACAGCTGTGTCCACAACTCACAATGAACCCACAGTTATCTCTGGCTCTTACTCGCCTTTGCTACTTTTTGATTTCTCTGCTTAGTTTCCCCACCGCCTCCGTTCTGTCTTTTTAAAGGGAATTGATTCTTATGTTTTCATGTGTGCTGTATTTATAGCCCACTGTTCCATGGACAAACATAATAGCTGCCACTCCCAGTTACAAGAGCACATGCACACAGTCACACAGTCAAATAAACACAATAGCCTATAGGCAGACAGACAAGCAATTATTAGCAACCAGCAATTATTGAGCGGGAAAAGGATATTAGAAGCCGTGAACACACACACACCCGCAGCAGTGGATGGGTATTGATTGGTGGTGAGCGTGTTGCAGGGTTAACGGTGGGTGTAATTCTTGCTTGATGATAACCTTTTGCATGTGTGCGTGCACGTGATTGTGATTGTGTGTGAGTGTTATTGAATGTCTCAGATGAATAGCTTAATCGCTCCGCGGGGAAAGAGGTTAGAGAGCCATGGACGAAATGAGAAACGACAGGCCTGCGTGGGTGTGTGTGTGTGTGCGCGCGTGTGTGTGTGCATGTGTGTGTGGAGAGAGATGCAGTGTTGATGGTCATGCAGATGTAAAAAGGAGGTAGAGTGTAATACTAACAGCAAATATAGATGTGGTGTTCATTAAAGAGACAGTGTGTAGTTTTTACTGTTTGTCTCTGGAAATATCCATCGAAATGTTGTTGAAAATGAATGAAATGATTCCCAGTTGTTGAAAAATATTGTCTGGTCTAAAATACATGAGTGGGTCTAAGGCCCAATCCCAATACGCACACTGCGCCCTATGGTCCTCGGTGAAAGGCACTTGGAGGAAGTGTGCAGTAAGGCTTCGAGTGTGTAGACAGTGACCGTTGCATCATCAACCATGATGTATGCCGGTTGCTGTTCGTGCTACTTAAAAAAAAACACTTTATTAACAAACTATTGACTAAATGAACATTCATTGTTGTCCACATTAAATCTTAGTCTAAAACATCCAGGGCATGAATAAATACCATTGTCTTAAAATTAACTTCTTTCATTTGAAAATACATATTTTCAGAACAGCAATGGATTGTGGGTAATACCCTTTGCCCAAGTCTACATTGATGCAGACTTGGGCAAAGTGTGGATCAAGGGTCCAAAAGGAGAGTGAACAACTTCCGCACTTGTGAATCAGATCACCCTACGCGCTCACACTCCTGGACTGGAATGCACAATTGAAGGGCCCTAGGGTGGAGGTGTGAGTATTGGATTGGGTTTAGGTCTTTTGGCGATGTCATGTTTCCTTTTATGAGAGCCAGTGAGGACTAAATGGATTTACTGATTTGTAACAAACTGTTAAAAAACTTTCACCGTTGATAAACGTTGTTTTACACTTTTATCTCTTTGCTCGTTGCCAGTGATAAAGAGAGTCTGATGTGTTTGTCATTTTGCTGGAGGTTGTGCTCCCAATGATTTTTGACCCTAATGGCCATCCGTTGGTAAGGTCTTACTCAAAGACAAAAATACTGCAACGATTTAGCTATGTACCGCCTCCTATCACTAGGGAAAACACGCGTCACTTTAAAATTAGTAATAATATTATTACTATTTAACAAAAATTAATAACAGTATAACCTGATTATTTGTGTTTGTTTTTTCAGAACCTGGACCCGTTCGCCAGCTGAGTTTCACCGAAATCTTGGACAAATCACTACGAGTCAGCTGGGCAGAGCCCGAGGAAAAAAACGGCATCATCACCGGTTAGAGCTGCGTAATTCTACATAACCAGAGTTAACGAGTTATTTATCACAAGTTTCTATTAAATTTGAGTTGTTACAAGACGCTAATAAACCTAAATGAGAAATTAAATGACCATCCCTTCCAGATTAAATGTGTTCTTCTCAGAAGGAAAGTGACTCAATAGAGTGAAAACATAAAATCCTGCCTTAAACTTTTAAAGTTTTTCCACTTTTCTCTGCTCCCTTTTTAGATCTTCTCCCTCTCCATCTCTGAAGTTATGTTTGCGTGTAACTGATTCATCATCAGCTAATCCTTTGCCTCTGCAGTTTGTCTTCTCACATTATCACTCACACATGCCATCATCATCATCATCTCACACATCCTAACACCCAGGGTGTTGTTTGTGCGTCTCATCTCAGCGCACAAGACCCCCCCCCCCCCCCCCCCCTTATTTTGCCTCTGCTCCTCCATGACTCTGTCAGACAGTCATGCTGTGGAGCACAACGAGCTGCTGTGAATTAAGCGATTACATCTTGTGTGTATGTGTGTGTCTTAGTGCTGTTACGGCATCATGTCCAACATTCATCAGGAAGAGGAACCTTCCCAACACAGCTATAGTCTCACACACACATGGCAGCGGAGTCTTTACAGTCAGCTTACACACTCTGAGGAGAAGGAAAATGGGTATTCAATCAAGGTCACCTTGCACATTTACTCTTTTCTCAACCTGCTTTTCATCCAGCACCTGGTGAGCTCAGAGATGGATGAGGGACTGCTCGCTCTCCTCAGGGCTTTACACACAAGTGGCCTGGCTCACACACACATCAGAGGGTGGTGGAGTGTGATGCATGACTGTGAAGATGTGAAGGGACAGACAGGGGATTCTGACTCTAGTTACTCCTCCCACCCTCTTGCTGTGTGTTTGGCTGTGGTACTCTCATTATATGGTGTGTGTGTGTTTATGAGGCTGCTCATGCCTATGCACCTTTATTAACCCAGCATGTCTTCTCCACTCTGCAGGTTACACGCTGTGGTGGGAGGTGCCTGGTGCAGAATCGAGCAGGGCAGAACGCTCCTTGTCCAACTCCACGTTGCAGTTCCAGCTGACGGGCCTCACTTCCACCACCACATACACCATACAGGTGGCTGCACTCACGGCTGCAGGACAGGGCGTGGTCACGTCCTCCACCATCTCCACCGGGGTTCCACCAGGTGCTGAAAACAAACTCTGAAACTTCTAAAAAAAAAAAACCCAGATGTTTAAACCTCTTTTCTTATCTTGTGTATGCGCTCGTGTAGCAGAGTAAATATGAGCAATGAGCCCTCACGATGCCGTTGTCGCTCCTCGGGCTGATAAGTGGCTGTTACTGTGCATCCATGAATCATCACCCACACAGCAGACACACACATTCTCAGCCTGAGACAAAAGTTGGTCGTTTACAGCAACTCGGAGAGAGCTTGGGTCTGTCTCCTCCTGATGTGCACACGCCACGAGAAGAAAATGCTTTTGTGTGCGTGACGAATTTATGTGATTGGGCTTGGGCCAAGCTGCAGTCATTATCAGTGCTGATTAACTGTAGAAAAAAGATCTGACAAATAATGAGATGGGGCATGAAGACAATCATACAAAATGAGTAAGAAACAGAAAAATCGAAATTTTTCATTTTTCAAAGATGAAAACACCAAAATCTGTCAAAAATGAACGGCTTGGGAAAAAATAATCCTAACTGATACAAGCACGACTTTTGACCCAACATTTTCTAATGACTAATTTATGAGTGAATGCAGAAAAAGTATACGCAAGATGGATACAGACATTTCTTAGATTCAGAGGTTGTTCATTAATTCATGAAAGCAAAAGCGTGAAAAAAAGACGACGAGTTGAAGATTAGGAAGAAAGGAGCTAAAGAATGAACGGAGAGAAAAGAGAGGAGAGGGATCCACCAAACACAGATTCTTCTCCGGTTTATTTATTCATGAATTCATGGAGTTGAGAGAATTTAGTCATTCATCTAAAAAAAAAAAGACCGCTGGCATCACTATTTCCAGATTATAACCTTAACAAAGTGTCTGCATGCATTCATAGAGTTGCAGATTTTCTATACGCACTTTCCTTGTGATGCACACACGCACCTCACTGTATTCAGAATTAAACAAAAACATAAAAATTGCACTCATTTATCCTTTAAAGCAGAAATCTGACCCCCCCCCCCCCCCCCCCCCCCCAGCCCCAGGAAATAGGGAATTTATTTTTAGAAATCCATAAAAGTCACATATTTGGACGTAATTTACATGGATATGAAACTGCATCGTTGCAATAGTCTTTTATTTTGAAAATTTCCAGGAGTTTTACACTGAAACCGTGTGGGATTTCCTGTCTAGCTCTATGTTAACAGCTGAAATTGTCATGTCAGAAGCGGATGCAAAAATAGAACCTGATCTCATCAGACCCGGTCGTTAGTGGCGCGGCGTAGATACAAACGTACTTTGTTGTCCGTGACATCAATGGCGTTTTTCTTTTTGGGATTCTGGTAGTTTGTCCTAAAGTTGAAGTGGTAGCAGCCGGCTGGTTCTCCTTCTCTGATGCTATTTAGAAGAGGACACCTCACACCGGTGGTGTTCTGTTGCTAAATACATGGGTGCAAAATGTGTGGAGGACCCAGGTAAACGCAGAAGTCAAGTAGTTCGGCGACACCAACAACCGGATGGTCCAATCGTTTGTTCAGACCAAGCCAGCTGAGGTTTTTAGACAAATGTAAGACCCCCCCCCCCCCTAAACTTAGGGATTCACGCTTTCCTAAATTTCTTAACCGGCTATTGATGCCCCTTAACAGTTAGTAGCCGGTTAACCAGATACCAGATTACTATTTAACTATGTACATCCCTACCCAAAATATTGCATTCAGTACTATGTTCAAACATTGTTACGCAAGCTTGTTTTGCAGATTTGCTGTTGTAGCTTTAAGACGCAATACATTTTCCCCTTCTAGATGGTGCCATCAGAAAATAACTCTGGATTTCTGCTTTTACGAGTAAATAAACTTCATGAAATTTAACCAAACCCAGTTGCCACCTATGGGTTCTATAAAACGTGTGTTCGATTACATTCAGGAAAGATGGCACCTAAAGAACTTCCCCCATGTAGAGACAGCAAATATCAGTCAGAGTGGAAAAGCATTTTAAAAGAGCGCTTAGTTGCTGTAGTGTTTGATTTGGACAGATTAGAACAGGTTGTGTCGAACTCAAATTCACACTGGGACAAAATGAAAAACTGGGATGAAGTCGCGGGCCAAACTCAATATTTTTTAAAAAGTGATGATAAATGTGCACATTTTCCTTTATCTACAGATATGAACGGCTGAACCTTTTCATTTGGAAACAAACTTATTTTTGCAGTAACAATGAATGTGGAATAACCAAATTACTGTCAGAGCCCAAGCCCCCGGACCGGTCTCTCCCAGCTAACCGGCCTCCATCTTGGACCACATTTCCCAGCATGCTCCTCGCGGGAACTCCCGGCATTCTCCCCATCACTCCCAAGTCTATATATGGAAGACGCTGCACCGGCTCTTTACTCAGTCATCGTTTCTTCGAAATCCATGAACAGAGTTCTCTACTGAATAATCCAGACTTCTAATATCCCAACTCAACTCAACTCCCGTACCCAGTCGACCATTGTGACAATTACACACGAGCAAGTCAATTTTAAATAAAGCACTCATCAGTGGTATTCGTTACTTATGTCTAAATTTTTTTAAAATATTTTATTCCTTAAAATCTGCATATATTCAGCATTTCTTCATACTTTTTTATCTTTTGAATCTTTTAAGTGTTTCTGTTTTATGTTTTCTTGTTTATTCTTTATTTTTTACTCTCCTTTGTTGCTCCTGTGATGAATGTTATTGCTGCGGTGACACCAAGCTGTCCCCAGTGAGGGACAATAAAGGGATTTTCTATTTTATTTCTATTCTATTCTTCTATCTGTAATCTTTCCTGTTTCATAATAGGTGAAATCTTTTTTCACTGGCCAACAACATAAATAAATAACAGTAATTCTCTTAAATAAAAATGCAATATCTTACCTAATAACTCATGCTTTGGAGCAGAAAAGGTTGATAAAACCAACATAATTCAATCCCAGTTTTCTCCACTCTGATTTCCTGTGATGCTCACCTGTTCCAGCCAGACCTGCATCTGTGGGGTTGGGCTCTGAGCTGAGGAAGGAGTTCATCAGTGAGAAACAGTTGCTCACACAGGTTTGTGCTGCTGGACATGGAGAGCATCTGGACCACACAGTTGTGTCGGGGAGGGGGATGAAAGCCGCAGCAGCCACAGAGTCATAGTGACTTGAGCGTGTCGTTAAACTGGAGTTAAATCATCTCGGTCTGGAAGTTGGTCGGTGCGCTTTCTATGTCAGCAGCAAACAGATTACTGAGCTGTTAAAATCCATTTCTGGGCTTCAGAGTCGGCTAATTGCTGATTAAACGTGGCGCTGAATAAGAGGAGTGTTTCAGTTTGTCCGAGGCAGAGGAGCTAACGCTGCAGACGCTGATGCTAGTAGCATGGACGCTAATGACTGTAAAGACATACCGGTTTTTCTCCTTGAAGCATCAACATGTTCCATCTTTGTTGAAACACCTTCCTTCTGCATCAATCTTTCTCTCCCTGGACATTTTGGGATGATGTGTAGACAATTATTTTCACTTGTTGCATTAATTAAACATGGAAGTGAATACACTGCGACCTAGTGGTGAGTCACTGCACTGGGAACACAATCACCATGCATTATGGGAGATGTAGTTCATAGTCAATGTGCGCTTTGAAGTGGCATAGACTTATTTTAAGACACTTGAATCTCTCGTGGGCCACATAAAATGATGTGGCGGGCCACATATGGCCCGCGGGCCTTGTGTCTGGCACATGTGGATAAGAACAAAGTGGTTTCAGTTGATTGTTGGAAATGTCAGTTTAATTGACAGAAACATGCTGTCACATATTTGATTCATTAGCAGCTGATTTTAAAAAGCATTTGTCACGAGTGTTGCTTGCTTGACTAATGCCAATACATCTCAGCAGCTGTCAGCAAAGATGTCTTTTCACAAGCAGTTATAAATTGTGTGTGGTATTTATAAAGTTGACATGTAAAAACAATCAAGTGAAGTCATAGAAATAATAATTGGCGGTTGAAATGTGCACAACATGTTATTAGTTCTCTCCAGCTTATTCTGTTTTTATAAAAGTTGGTCAGTGGAAAATAATTGGTGTTATCTGTTTGTTTTTCTGCTGTAGTTCAATGTGAAGCAGCTATTTAGTGTGTAGTCAGTGGCGTTTAGCAGCAAATGCCAGCGAACAAACCTGTGTTACATCAGTGGTGCTATTGTCAGAACTGTCTCTGTTCTGTTTGTAAATCAATTCCCAATTATTCTTTCCTCCAGTTATTAAAACTGTCGAGCTCAAGTGTGGAGCGTTGGCCCCATGGGGATAACAGGAGTTGTCTAATTATCTTTTCTGACAACTTCTGCAACAAGGAGGTCTTAATTCTTGGTCTCGGTGTTTTTCCCCCAGAAATAAAACAAGTGAAAGCAAGGATAGTAAATCTAAGACATATTGCGTGAAGCTGTATTTCAGCTACATTCAGATCATGTCTGATTTGTGGTTATACTTTTTGTGACCGCAGTTTGGCCTCAGCGATCAGTTATCATTTTCCAGTCAAGTCCTTGTTTAACATCTCCAATGTAGTTGTGCCTCTCAGGCTGCCGCAGCTGGTCACTCAAGGAGACTGCTTTCTGTCTCTTATCATTGCCATGGCGATGGAACAAAGTCAGAATGAGAGCGGGTCAATTTTAATTTCACAGCTTTGCTGCCTGTTCAGACTTTTATAGGCGTTAAATGGAACATACTGCACTATGCATTTAATTCCACATCAGACTCACTGCCATTCTGATAGATATATTTCTCTGTATTGTAGTTTTAACCTTGGAAGAAAATGATAACCAAGTACCAGTCGTTCTGTCAAAACGAACATTTCAGATTTTTTTTTCTCATTACCACTGATGTTGAAACAGAGGACTAGCTAAATGTTAAACGGCCTGTATTTGATATAGCACCTTCTGGATTCCTGGAAACCCCCCCCCCCCCCCCCCCCCCCCCTCAAGGCGCTTTACAGCACAATCGGTCATTTCACCCATTCACACCCACATTCACACCCTGATGGTGATGAGCTACATTGTAGCCACATCTGCCCTGGGTGGGGTCGCACTGACAGAGGTAGCATTGGTCCCTCCGAACATCACCGGCAGCAGGCAAGGTAGGTTAAGTGTCTTGCCCGAGGACACAGCGACAGACTGAGTGGGGCTCAAACCTGCAACCTTCCGATTACAGAGTGAGCACTTAACCTATGTGCGACCGTCACCACTAGCTGCAGTTTTCTACCTTATAGAGGTATTTTAACCATCTTGAAAGACTAAGTTCACTGAGAAACCATTTTTTCACGTTATGATTGGTCAAGCTCAATGTGAACGCTCACATTAGAACAGCCAGTCAGATCATTAGTATTCATGGACTCACCCATCTTTGCTCGTGACCAGGGAAGACTGTTGTTGACTTAGCATCCAGGAGAGAGCAGAACGTGTCTTGGCTATTAGCATTAGCATCTTCTCAACACGGCAGAACTCCTCCATGCTTGTGCTATTTTTGGAGATAAAACATCATCGTTGCAGAGCAAATGCAGTCAGTGGTAGAGTTGTGTTGCTATTAGCCAACCAGAGGCCAGATGTCCGAATATCAGGAAATAAGTCTTTAAATTCTGCCTTGTTCATCTTCCCTCTGCCCTGGCTTCCTTCTAGTTCCTGAAACTGGAGTGCCAGTACTTTTTTCCCACAGAGATACTCACAAAGCATTCATTTATACCAGAGACCATTGCACATGTGTTCAAAGAATGAGTGAACTTGGTCTTTAAGAGTTGGGTTTTTTTGCAAACATAATAAATAATTTAAGTCCTACTTATGGTAGATGGCCTCCTTTTAAACCTCTGTTAAAGATGCATTATTTAGATAAAATTTGGTTACTGTCACCTTTTTGCCAGCCGTCATCAAATTACAATTGTTGGGGCTGCAATATTAGCTTGCAGGAGACACGGCAGCCCCACACTCACTGAGTGTAAAGTTGCGTCCCTCCTTCCTTTGTTTTGAAAGGAAAAAACTAACAATCCCCACAGCTAGCTGGGTACGGATATGTTTCAGTATAACCTCCCATCCAAAATGACTGAAACATTAAACTCTTTTGGGAAATTCTCCCTATATTCTTACATACTGCACCTTTAAAAGAAATTGTGTTTAAGTCCACCCGGACTGATGGGCTAACAGTCTGAGCACATTCTTAAACTAGCTTCAGCCTCCAAATCTTCATAGCAGTTCATCTAATATCAAATCTGTGAGACTGGAGCAATTTTTTGACTATCTGTTTGTATATGTGCGTTGCTTGAGACAAGCCATTTTTAGATTTAGGGTTTGAATGGACTGAGACACATAGTGGAACGCCATGTTCACGAACTTTATTTTATTAACTCTACTGCTATCATTTGCTATGGATATTTTAGCAGATATATTAAGAGATTCCTGTTGGATTTGACCCTTGGGTTCATCAGAAATGCTCCATTTTGCTGCCGGTAAAGTTTGGGCTTATGAATAATCATAGAATTGTCTGAAAATAAGCTTTAATGAGAAACTGCCAGCAGAGGAAAGGTTCATAAAGTAATATTGAATGAACAGTTGGCATTTTTGGAGATGGAAGCTGTTATAAGATAGCAGCAGAAAACTTAGATGTTTCATTATTGACGACATCATTTTCTTTGTTTTTTCCATAATCAGTTCTACTCAAAGCAGATTTGAGCTAGGCTATGTTACAGCCACCTTCAGTATTGCATATATATTTGTCTCTTAATGGGAAAATCTATTCAGTAAATAATATTTTTGTAGTTTATCTCTTTGCTCTTTATTGAAATAATTTGTCATGCTTTGGTTCTGCTCTGCTATTTTCCCTCTTGGTTCAGTAAATAAATGAAAGATGTTTTTTTTTTATCTCAAAGTGTTATTCAGTGTTGAAGTATTCAGATTGTAGCAGACAGACTTCTATTTTCATAAACAGTGTTATTATGAAGCCATCGCAGCCTCAGGTTCTGGTCAGGGACTGCTTCATTAATCCATAAGAGAACACTGCTGGATAATGGCTAACTTTTCATGTGTTGTATCTGCAGAGCTTCCCGGTGCTCCCTCTAACTTAGTCATCTCTAACATCAGCCCTCGGGCGGCCACGCTGAGGTTTCGCCCCGGTTCTGATGGAAAAACTGCCATATCACGGTGGATAGTTGAAGGACAGGTGAGCGTGTGTTTCACCTGCATGTGTGCATCTGTGACGTTATGTCTGTTACCTTTTTTCTGGACAGACCAGTGAAAACACTATGGCGACAGCTAGCGTTTAACTCATGCCACGCAAAATTGACTTAGCGAGTTTGAAGACGAAGATGGATCTTAAACTATTGAATTAAAAATGCTTTCCTTCAAGCCTGTTGAGTAAATTTTGCACTGCATGGGTAAAATGCTAGCTGTCACCAGGGTTGGAATTACGGGGGAGCTTTGGGGAGGCTGGCTCCACCGACAGGTTGATGTGCTCTCACGGAAGCCCTTCACACCCAGGGGAGTCCGAAAAATGATCAAGTCGCACCACCGGCTCGTTCTTATGGCATTGTCACTGGTCTGCCCTGAAAGCCTGTGTGTAATTCATGCCCTGGCTATCACCATGTCATCATAATATCCGGACGGCGGGCTGGACTTTCATGTTGTCATTGAGTTACAAGGGATAGGATGGTGGGGGCAGCAGCCTGAGCAGACTGTAACTAGTTACTTTTATCTGTAACTTGTACAGCACTGGTCATCGGTCGCAGTGAAGCACAGCAGAACTGTTTTCTAACAAATGTCCTCTCTACCAGGTGGTGAAGGATGGTGGAAAGGAGGAGCCATGGAGAGTTGTGTACCAGAAGGACAACCAGCCAAATGCAGACACACTGGAGATCCCCAACCTCACTCCATTCACTCAGTACAGGTGAGCGACAAACACCATCACACACATACACACCAGTTCACACACATCTCACTCTCCGGCAGTTTCTGCAGTATTGCAAGGCTCAGATGAAGTTCGATAAATCACACAGGCACGCGGAGAGACAGTTCCATCTGAGACTTTTCTGTTTGTCAGCACCTTCACAGCTGCAGCATGCAGATCCTTATTACCCTCCCGCAACTAGCTTAAGGAAAAGAGAGAGGAGCAGAGGGGTGAGGGCAGGGGGGAGGAGGAAAGTTGATGAGAAAGTTTTAAGGGCAGCAGAAAGTATTAAAAGAGAAGAACAGCCAGAGAATAAAAGACAAGGAGAACAGAAAATAGATGAGGGTAGAGAGACGTGTCCTTAATCCTGTCTTCAAGGGCTGAGGAGAGATTTCACTTAGTAAACGTGATCTGTCATTCTCTGTCCCTCTTCTGCCCATTCTGTCCATCAGTCTAGTTTTTTTATCAGATTTTTCCGTCTATGATCGCCTCCTGCTCCCAATATCTCAGCCTTTGTGATGGGATTAGGGTGTGTATGCACACATTGTACATGCAATCACAGGGATTATGCCGTCCCTGGCGACACCGCAGAGACGGTAGATGAAGTGAATCTCTTGTCTGTATTTTTTTTATCCCCTGCCTTAGGTCTCTCTCCCCTTCTCCCATCACAGGGACAACAACTCATAGATGTAGTCCCTCACACACAACCTGCCAATCCCATGATTTTAGCTGCAGCTTCATGAAGCGTCGCTGGATTTAGCAGAAACAGAAGTAAGGCAGTCCTAGACGGGTGCCTCTGTGTGTAGAGGCATCTAAACAACATGTGGAGACCCTTCTGAGGATTTTAGCTGTGGGACAACTAAAGTTAATATAAGGGACTCCTGATTAAAAATGATTTTGAAGAAACTTTTAAGGACTTTGAATAAGCTTGTCCTAATTTTGAAAGTGAAATAACAATAATCTAGGTCTTTTTTTGTCTGAAGATGAAGAACAAACGTTTTTTTATAAAGCACCCCACAAAGGGCTACACAAGCACAATAAAATTATTACAATTATTAAAATGGATCATAATAATAATAATAATAATAATTAAACAAAGTAAAATAGAAGTAAACATTCAGATTAAATATTAAAAAAGAGAAAACAAACCTTGTTATCAGTCTGAATTAAGATGGCGCCTGTGTTTCGCTGAGCTGCAGTTACTAGCCAACTTTTTTTTACTTTTCATGGCTAACGTTCTGTTCTCTGACTTCAGTAGCGTCCTGGCTAGCGTTTCGTATTATCGCCACTCTTTTAGCCTTCCGATTGTCCATGATGGATCAAGATGCACCGTGGCTCATATGTCAGGTTCTGGTGCCAAGCCAAGCAGCTCCGATGATTTTTTAAATTTTTTTCTGTTAAGTGATCTAATAAGAAAATATGGACCATTACTGCCCCTTTTATTTCATATTTGCTGTTGTGCAGCTGGATTCTTGAGACATATGAACCACAAAAGAAACCATCTTGAGAATGTTGCCACATTTGGAGTCACTCTGGGTCTTTTGTGGTCACACTCATTTAGCAGGCTGAATCGAAAACAAGACCTTAGCCTCATTTACAAACCTAAAACAACCACTAACTGACCTGGGGTGAGTTAATAGAAGTAGCTGAGTCACTACTGAGGGTGCTCGGTCAAAATTCAGTACAGCTGGAAGATTATTTCAAAGGATGCAATAACAATCTAAAAGTGTATTTTAGAGTTTGAAATAATGTTTTTTCTTGTGTAATTAAGAATAAATGTGCTGGTGTCTATCAATTCAATTGATTTTATTTATATAGCGCCAAATTACAGCAAGAGTCATCTCAAGGCACTTTACAAAGTAAACATTCTAATCAGAATCAGAGGGGTTTTATTGCCATATGTGTGAGAAATCACATCTTTAGGAAATTGCTGCAGTACCTGGTGCAAGAAAGAAAGATATAAATAAGAGATAAACAAACATAGGAAGTAAGAATGTAATCATGATAAAATAATAATTGAACTGAATTGAATTGAATTGATTTATTCAGTCAAAACATAATAATCATATAATCAATAACACATTACATTTAAAGTGACTGAAAAGGCTCAGACCGAAGCAAAATGCTTGTATTTATGCCTGACCTTTTTAACAAATTAAACAAATTAAACTACCCCTTTAACACAAATCTGTACAATTGAAGCAAAATAGAAAAGAAGAAGTAGAGAAATATACGCCATTTAGTCAGATACGTTCACAATACTCTTACATTTACAACACAACTTATAAACTCTTGTAACCGTCAAAAATTATCTTCAAAACCATCCTTTTAAACAACAAAAATGTGCCACAAGTTCTTACATTTACACTGGCATTATTCCATAATTTAACCCCCACCGCAGATCTACGTTTCCTTTTAACTTCTTTTGTTGCTAAAGAAACAATAAATTTATTAATATCGCTAAAATCATACTTAGTTACTACACAAGAAAAAAAAGTGTGTATACTTTGTGGAAGTAACTTCAATTTAGCTTTATACATAATTTGCATTATTTTATAGTAAACTAAATCATTACATTTCATAACATGTGATTTTACAAACAATGGATGTGTATGTGTCAAATAATCTGCCTTATTAATAATACGTATTGCACGTTTTTGTAAGAGAACTATTGCACTAACTAACGTTTGATTAGTCAGTCCCCGGACTTCCACACAGTATGAAATGTACGTAGTATGAGTGGACAATAAATGATATGTAGCGCTTCATAATTCAACATATGTCTTGATTTGTACAGTATTGCTATAATCTTAGAAAGTTTTCCTTTAATGTAATAAACATGCTGTCTCCATTTCATTTTATGATCAATAACCATCCCCAAAAAATGTATTTCTGTCACCCTTTCAATTTCAACATTCTATATTTTTAAGTTAATTTCCCTGTCAAGTTCCTTTATTACCAAATATCATAAATTTTGTCTTTTTTAAACTGAGTGATAGTTTATTAATATCAAACCAAGTCTTAGGGATTCCCAATTTTGTTTCTATTTAGGGCAGAAGTTTCTGTAAAACATAAATTTGTATCATCTGCAAAAATTACAAATTTCAATAAATTAGTGACGTTTCAAATATCATTAATGAAAAGTAAAAACAGTTTTTGTCCAAGAACAGATCCCTGGGGAACACCAAAGAAACCTTCCTAAATTTTGAGTTTGTATTGTTGATTTCTTCATATTGCTTCCTATTGTCCAAATAACTCCTCAGCCATGAATAAGCCACTCCTCTTAATCCATACTTCTCCATTTTTTAAATAATATACTGTGATCAATAGTATCAAATGCTTTTTGCAAATCAATAAAAATCCCAACAAAATACTCATCATTTTCCCTGGCCTCTGTTATTTTTTCTACCATTTCCATTATTGCACATGTAGTTGTTCTTTTGGCTCTAAACCTGTATTGGTGCTCACTAAGTAACCCAGATTTTTTGAGGAAGTGGGGACACTGGCCTATAACTATCAACACAATGTTTGTCTCCATTTTTACAAATTGGTTTTATTTTAGCTATTTTCATGATGTTTGGAAAAACACATTTTTGAAAGGATAGATTACAAATAAAAGTCAGAGGTTTTACAATAAAATCAATGACCTCTTTAATTATGAATGTATCAATAAAATTAATATCAGTTGATTTCTTATTTTTAAGTTTTCTAATAGTTTAGATCACCATCATTGATTCCTCCCAAAAAGAATGAATCTTTATTATCCTTAAAAAGGTGATCAAACATATTTAATTTTTTATCACAATTTGGAATTTGTTTGGCCAGACTTTTACCGACATCAGCAAAATAATTGTTAAATTCTTCAGCAACATCTTTTTTATTGTCCACTATATGACCACATTTAGTTACAAAATGTCTAGGAAATTCTGTTTTATTAATTTTTTTATTGATAAGATCTTTTATAATATTCCACGTCACTTGAATATTATTTTTACTTCCTTCTAATAATGTATTATAGTGCTCCCTTTTTTGTCTTCTTATGATAGAGGTCAACATATTCTTATACTGTTTATATGTTTTTTCACTTTCACAAGTTTTTAATAGTAAATATTTCTTATATTGTACATTTTTCTTTCTGCATGCCTTTCGTAAACTCTTAGTCATCCATGGTTTTCTGTTACCATTTTTCTTCCCCTGACATTTTCTAATAGGACAATGTTTGTTATAGAGATCTAAAAATATAGACAAAAATGTATCATATGCCAAATTCACATCCTCCACATACACATCATCCCAAACACAATCTGCGATGTCTACCTTTAAAGCCTCAATTCTTTCTCATTAGTTTATGCGGTGACTCATCCTTTGCCACTGAAGTGTTATCTATTAAACGATGCAAAATTCCAAATATAGGGAGATGATGTGTAATGTCATTTAGGAATATACCACTTGTAGCTGAACCGTACACATTTGTAAAAATATTATCTATTAGTGTGGCGCTGTCCTTCGTAATTCTGGAGGGCTTGTATATTAGTGGCCTTAATCCAAAACTAAACATAGTATTGCAAAAGTCATTTGTTGCTTTATGAACGTTCCATTTAATCAAATCAATATTAACATCCCCACACACACAAAATAAGACTTTTTATCACATATTTTTTCAAAGATGTTTGTTATAATGTTCAAATACTGCTCCATACAGGAGCCAGGTGTTCTATATGTGCAACTCAAAACTATACTCTTACACCTTTTCGTCCTGATTTCAATTGTTAAACTTTCCATAATTTCATCAACAGCTGTGGTGTCTATAATCTTACATTGAAAACTTTTCTGTACATTTATTGCTACTCCACCTCCCATTTTTTGTCCTATTAACCCAAAAAAAATCCTATCCTTCTAATACAAAATTGGCATCTTTTCCCTTTGTAATCCATGTTTCACTTAAAGCAATAACATGAAACTTGTGTTTTAATGACTCTAAATAATCTTTGATATGTACATAATTGGCATACAAACTCCTACAGTTAAAGTGTATGACAGAGAAACCTTCCAAATTAACATTACTCAAATTTTGACTGGAAAATCATCGTACAAGTTTTTTTTCAGGGTCAATACCATTTTCTAAATTAAATGGTCTATATTCATCCAAACTAGAAAAACATAATTCCTCAATATTATTCCTGTCTAAAGAATCCTCACTATCAGAGGAGTCACTCACACCTTCCTTACCAAAATTTAAACTTGGCGAGAGAGATTCTACCATTTCCATCAGTTATATTTCTCCAGTTCTTTCAGGTTTCTTATCACAACCACCTTTGCCTGCTCTGGTGAGCTATTTAATCGCACTAATACCTTCCCTTTTCTTGACCATTCTGTTTTCTGAGACTTCGACAATTTCTAGCAATTTCAGCATTTTTCTTAGTCAAGTGCTCACTGATCTACACACCAGTATCTTTAAGGTTTTTAGCTTGTCTCAATATTTCAGCCTTGTGCTTTCAATTAGCAAATCTGACTACAATGACAGGTTGATGAATTCTGTCCTTGCGAGGGAGAATATGACAAGCAGATATTTGCTGACTCTCTAAGTGAATGTTCTTACTGTTGATGAATTCGACCACTTGTTGCTCGAGAGTGCGTTGATCCTCAGGAGATTCGTCCTCCCCTGGATGTTTTCTTGTTGTAGCAGCAACTCTAGCATAGCTGTGATGGGCGGTAGCCAGGCCGCTAATGATAATTTCATCCGCCCGGGAATGTTGCTCCAAATCATCAATCCTTTGTTCCAGCAGTTCAGTCTTCTCATCAATCCTTTTATTGCTGTTATTAATAAAGGTGATTAGCTCTAATATGTCATTCACTAGGCCCAAAAGGGTGGTTTGTTGAGACAGCACTTTGTTAAGGTTTTCAGTCATAGCAGTAAGTTGCTTCTTAATTTCTTCCAGTTCTTGTCCAAGTTGCTTAACTGTCGACATCTTTTCCAGAAAATGAAAAATAGAGTGATTTCAAATACAAATATGTTTGTTTGGGTAGACTTAATGGATACTGCTCTGTTCCAAAAACTCCATGTGGTCCCAGATCTCCAGCACCAAACTTCCTCAAAAACCGCACAAATATTGTTAAATATTTCCAGCAGGGAACAAAAAAGTACCATAGCATCCACAGCACTTTGAGTTTGTCAACATAATACCTTGTTCTCTAAAGGATTATTATGGATTCCATTGAGACGTCATACAGAGAAGGTGCAGCAGCAGCCGTCTTGACTCATCATCAATTATAATAAGTTGCCATAATTAGAGAAACTGCTACAATATACCAGAAAGTGTAGGTACTGATCAGAGCGGGACAGTTCAGGTACAAACACAACACAGGGTCATGTGACTGAAACTAAGCAACTGGAGTGTGCAGCCTTATGATTGTCATTCCTGAGTCCGACTGCAGAGGGGACGAAACTGTTCTTGTGGCGAGAGTTTCTGGTCCCAATGGATCTGAGCCTCCTGCTGGATGGGAGTGGGTCTAAAAGACTGTGTCCAGAGTGACATGGGTCATTTGAACCTACCTATCAGTGCACTGAGTTCAGTTCATTATGTCTATTAGTTAAAAGTTTCCAAAGCTAGAAAACCTGGCATCGAGCATCGACTTTTACAGCAATCTTTATACTAAACAAGCATGTAGCGACTGTGGAGAGGAAAACTCCCCTCTAACATGAAGACACCTCCAACAGAGCATGGATCAGTATGAGCAGCATCTGTCGTGCCATTTATCAGAGGACACTCTCAGTGCTGTTAGAGCAGAAATTATTTAATTTATTTACTCACGCATTTTCTGTAGACTCTTTGACGGGGTTTCTCTTTGGATGCAGAGCTGGTATCAGGTTGATATCTAAATAAGGCCTTAGCTGCGGCTGTCGCTGAAGTTTTATCCTAACAGATTGAAAGTTGATAAATCACTTCATCTAAGATTTCTCTCCCCAAAGATGGTTTTGTTGTTGTTGTTTTTGCTTTTCCTCCAACTGGCTCTAAGAACTGTTTGATTCATGCAACTTTTCCACTTCATTGATGCGACCGGTTGAGTTGAGTCCATGACAGATGTTAATAGACAGATGGCTCATCCAGTCATCTTACATGTTTTTAAGTATCTTCCCCAGTTTCCAATTACTTTTTGTGACGGTTCTGTGCAACAAACCATCTGGTGCTTCAGGTTATTGTGTGAGTGGAGCAGACAGGATTGAAATTTCTTATAGATTTTTAGTTGAATTATTTTTACATGAAGTGCTGAGAACAAACATTTGGTGAAAAAAAACTATCAGTGCATGAACTGCTAGAGATTAAAACATAAATGAACTGATGTGTACTGATTGCGGAGGGAAATGTGACATCTTTCAATTTCAGTCATTTATAATTTGCATTTTCTGCAAGAATTAAAGACTCCATGATAAAGATTGACTTTAATAAATATTTATCATCGTGTCAGGCTAAAAATGAACGTTTACAGACTGTGGAGGTTTTGTTTATTTGTTTTTTTTTTTTTGTTTGTTTTTGGGGGGGGGGGGCTCTCATCAGGTTCCGGATGCAGCAGGTGAATATTGTTGGTGCCAGTCCCATGAGCGCCACCTCTAGGCTGATTCAAACCCTACAGGCTGCCCCCGACACACACCCCTCCAACCTGAACCTCGTCTCTGCTACGCAAACCAGCCTGTGCTTCAGCTGGAAGGTAAACACGCAAACACACATCCAACCATTAACCTTCATTCTGCCCCTTTACACTCATTTAAATTGTGCTAATGTGACTGGGATTTCTGGTGCTTCTTCCAGACCCTCCTTATTTGTTAGCTCTTATGTTTACACCAGACTACACATGTGCACGTTTGCTCACCGGCAGCAGGACCAAACAGGCTGAGTGTCTGGCAGCTTATAACCAGCGTCTCCTGGTTATCATAGCTCAGACTAATCTCTCACATTTCTCTTTTCACCATTTTGGACCACTACCAGCACAATCCGCTAATATCCTCCTCACTATCCTGTCTTTTTCTGGTCTTCTTTCGTTCCTGCTCACCATTCTTTTCTCTTTCCCCTCCATCTTTTTTTCCTCCACCTTCCACTCTTCTGTTATAACATAAATGGAGAGGAGAGTATTTTCCATTTAAGAGTTGGAATGAGAAAAAGAGCCTGTCAAATCAGACATAGACACGACATTACAGGGGCTTCCAGTGCAGCATGCTAATGGGATTTTACCTGTATGTTAGCGCTCAGCCTGAGTTATGCTAGTTTTCTGCAGTAATGGAACCATCACAATGGTTTTAGCTAAGGCTATTATTCTGAGCTGCATATTAAGGGTAATAAAACTAATGTGACATTCTGTATTATGGCTCCTAAATGCTAAGCTGTGCTAAATCACCAGGGTATTTAAAACGACTGGGTGTCTCACTCACTGATCTGTCGCACGATATGGAACAACCACATTTCAATATTAGTTAAAATTGTCTGAAAGTTATGCACTATGTGGACACATTGAACTTTTAACTAACCAAACTTAATGGAGAAAAAAGTTGTTGAAAGAATGAGATGGTGTGGACAAGAATGAAAGCTAGAGAAAATGCACAAGGAGATGGAAAGGATGAGTCGATGGAAGGGATCAAGAGATCAAACGGGCATTTTCAGCGTCAGATACATCATTTAACATCACGACAAGTACAGTCACATTCTTGTTGCCTAAAAAGCGTGTGCTAAAGTTCGTGGAGATCATTATTTGTGTCGGATTATTTACGTTAGCATGCTAACACATTTTACTTACTGGATTTGAAACTGTTTCAACTCCAACACAAAAATACTGCTTGCTTGCAGTGATTTAGGCATCTACTTCCACCTATTGTCAGAAAAAAACACACACTCACTTTAAACAAGAGGTTCACTAAAATACATATAATACTTGTTTTATTAGAAATATGATCGATCAGTTTTACATGAAGGCTGAACATGAAAATAGTCTTCTACCCCTATTTCCTGCATTAGCCGCTGATTGAAAATAGAATAGAAAACAGGAACTGCTCAGGTCAGAAAAAGCCACTCAGATCCACATCACACTAAAAGTTCATGGATTAACCCATCTTGACTCGTGACTGCAGACAGCTGTGTTTATATAGAGGCTAACCGTTAGCATTAGCAACTCCACAACATGGCAGAACTCCTTCAGGGTTGTGTTATTTGTGGAGATAAAAACATCAGTGTTGCATTTTTTATCCAAGAAAGCAGATCAACCAAAGGCATCGGAAGAGTTGTGTTACTGTTAGCCAATCAGAGGTGAGATGTTCACGTATCATAAATAGTTATAAGAAAAAATCCAAATCACACACACACACACACACACACACTCCTCCAACTGACATTGGCTCCGGCTCTGTTTCGTGAGCGACCGACACATTACTAGTGTGGCTGGCAGAAAGCCTGACAGCGCTGCTGCGCTATTCAACCACATCTTAGTAACCCTGACCCAAACCCTTTACACACCCAGTAACGGTAACGGCTGTTAAAAAATGGGAAAAGTAATCAATTAGATTACTAATTAATCCTAAAAAGAATGCTGTATTAATGCCATTATACTTAAACGTTGTTACTCCCAACACTACTGGCGACCACAGCAGATTTGTTAAAATAGTGAGTATTAGCACACTTTAATGAATCAAAAAGTGGAAAACTACATTTTTTATTGATTCGGGAGATCTTTGTCTGAAGTTGAAATTTGCTTCTGCTCTGAAACATTTAGGTATGACAAAAAAGGGAAAAGGAAAAATACTTTTTCATAACACTGTAAAAATGTTTATTTTGTATATTTTTGGTTGCGTCTTTAACCCACAAATAGCATTTGTAGAACTGTGTTATTATTTACATTCAGTATGTGTATATATATATATAAAAGAAGAACACACATCTTGACTTGGATCTTTTCTCGTTCCTTTCTTCTTCCTTCCAGCCTCTCCCAGAATCTGAGTACAACAGCAGCCCAGAGACCATGGGCTACCGGCTCCGTGTGTGGAGGACAGACGGAGACGGGGAGGACAGGACCGATGATGTGAAGGGAGATGTGGGCACCACTGAGGTCACAATAGAAGGCCTGAGTCCCTGGACCCAGTACCAGGTTCAGATACAAGCCTTCAACTCTATAGGGGCAGGACCGTGGAGCCCTACCGCCGCAGCGCTCACCGCTGAATCAGGTATGAGAGCAA